AATATTCATACCAGCACTTTTTGTGGTAGCAAAGAACTGGAAACAAAGTGGGAGCACATCAATTAGGGAATGGCTGATGAAACTGTGGTATGTAAATGTAATGAAATGTGATGGTACCATAATGTAGCCAGTGTTTCAGCAGTAGTGTTTCATCTCTGTGGGAGCAATGGGGCACTAGAAATACCCACTGAGAGAAATAGAATTGCAAGATACCAAGATGTGCCAAAATCTGTGCTTGAGGCTCCCTATATCCTTTCCCTCTACCTTCTAAAAAGACTTCCAGCTGCACTGAGTAGGGAAAACCATGGCACTTGAGTTGGGGCATTCTGCCCACCATGTGAGCCATCATGTGAGTGAGGGATAACAGAATGTGGAAAAAAGAATCCTGGGTTTTTACTGTTTGGGCTTAGCCTTCTGTCTGTGGTGACTAGGCCTCATGTTAGGGTAACTGTGAATGAGGCCAGACTCTTGAGCAGTAGCACAGGCCATGTCCCAAGCATCCTTATCTTCAGCGATTGAGAGTGTGTTGATGAGGATCAACATCAATACCAATGCAAGGAATGGAAGTGAAGACCAGAGCATGAGGTCATCCCAAGTATCAGACACATCATAAAGGCCAGTGCTTTGATAATCTAGGGGTGAGGGAACTGATCCCTTTCCCCACACCTCTCCAGTGTATTTATACTTGAAGTTTCAGAGCTGGAGCCCAGGACACACACACCTCCACAACCATTCCCTCTCTACAGCCTGTGAGAGCATGGTTCAGAAATTCCCTTAGATACACCCAAGAATGAGTAAAGTAGTTAGAAGAAGTTCCAAAACCTAGTTGGGCAGAGGATTCTATATGGGAATGCTTACTGAGTTTTTCTTTAATGTTCATTATATCTAATAAATAATGAAACCATAATATGATGATAATGGGATCTTAGATTTAGAGATTAAAGGACCTCACATGTCATCTAGTCATAAATGGGGAAAGCAAGTCCCAGAGAGGTTAAATGACTTACCCATGGTCATATGGGTAGTAATTGAAAGAAGCAGGATTTGAAACTATTTCCTTTGAATGCAAATCCATTTCTCTTTCAATTATGAAAATTGATGAGACTGGAAGTGAAAATGGGGACCAGAGTGAGGGGAAGAATCAGATGTCAGAGATCATTGGCTATTGCAAAGCCACTCTACCTGCATTCTATGAATGAGTGGTTTTGTTAACCAGAAAGATGAAATTCCAGATATGAGATGGAACCAGAAGTTTAGATTTCCTCCTTTTCAGAAATATCATGTATCATCCCCTAGCCTAAATTCAGAATCTGACCAGCATGGGTTCTAATTTAGCCAACTGGTCTAGGTTACACAATGTTAGAAATTTCTTGTGTGTGAGAGACTCTGATGAGGCCATACTGCAAGTGGTTTGATTATAGTAGGCAACTTCGAGTAGGCAACTCAGAGATTGTACTCCCTGGCTGGATAGTTAATAGAGTGACACATTGCCTTCTCTAGGCTTGAGAAAAGCATAGCAGGAGCTAATTTGTGCTGCTTATACTATTTCTATACCCTAGTTATCACATGGAGTACTCACAAAATATCACACACAGCCCATATGTGTCAAAATACAAAACAGCAAATATAAGGAATTCAGAGAAACATGGTAAGACTTGTATGAATAGTTAAAGTGGGCAGAACCAAGCAAACATTATACAGAAATGACTACAATAATGTAAACAAAACAAAAATGAAACCAAACACTTTACCATCATGACGACCAATCTCAGCCTCGAGAAGAAATGAGGAAATATACTTTCTTTCTTTCCTTGTAGAGGTGAGGGTCTGTGGGTATGGAATTTTATATATTCTATCATGTGTGGTCACTATGATAATTGGTATTATTTAAATGTCACCAGGAAAGGCTCACTGGCTTGTGGAGACAGCATGGGGGAAAGAATATGTTAAGAAATAACTGTAAAAAATGAAAGGTATAAATAAAACTTTGAAAATTAAATAATGTCTAAATTTGGTACATTTTTCTAGGAACTCTTAGTGCCTTATAGACAACCAGATTCCCCTAGAGAACTTGTTTTCTAGGCCTTGCTCTGTGCAGTCATCAGGGAATACCTTTAACATTGGGTAGTCTTGAACCATGATAATATTGAAGTTAGTGTCATGCTCCAAAAATAAAATCAAATGCTCCAGTCCCCTCTACATCTACATCATACTCCCTCTCTGATAGTTACTCAAAGGTTCACCCTTTGAACTAAGCCATGTCAACTAATGCTCAGCGTCATTTGTCATACTGGATAGTAGGGGGTAGAGTACTCTGCAAAGGCCAGAAAAATGGGGTTACTGGAAGTTAACAGCAAGGCCTCTTTAAAACCCCATCTGTTCACAGAAGAAAAGGGACCAGCTTAGGTTGCTGTATGCCATGCCAGCTTTACCCCTTCTGTCTCAGGGAGAGACTGTGTTGGGTGGCCAAACAAGGTCTTGTATAAGCAACCCAGGAGGGTGGGCATCTAGAGAAATTAACTCCAAGAATGTGTCTGACTCATTGTGAGGTCTGTGGTTTATGATCCCCTCTCCATGTTTACCCACCTATAAAACAGGGCCGAGAGACTGGAGCAGTTGGGGGAATAAATATGATTTAAAATGATAATAATTAACATTTATGTAGTCCTTAAAAGTTTGCAAAATATTTTACCCACAGTATTTCATTTGAACCTCATAACAACCCAGTGATATGGGTACTATATGCATTATTGTTCCCATTTTGCCAAAGAGGAACCTGAAACTCACAGAAGTTGTGACTTGCCTGGAGTATACTTCATCAGTCCCTTGAAAGGATGCTTTCCTTTAAAGCTGACTTGCTTATTCATTTGGGAGGCTTCATGAAGACAGCATGGATGTAGTAGTATAAGAACATTAGGTCTATTAACAATAATAATGTAATAGAAAAATAATGATGGTGATAGTGATGACTATAAACAGCAGTAAACATTACCTTCTTAAATGGTCATGAAATTTAAAATTTGTGACAAAACAAGCTTTCCAGGTTTGGTGTCTTCCCATTTAAGGAATCTTACACTTTGGGCCTCAGTTTCTTTCTCTGTAAAATGAGGGAGTTGCACTAGGTAATTCCTAAGGTCCCTTCTAGCATTCAGATTCTATGATTGATTCTCTTGCCAGGATTCTGAAAAGAACTAGGGAATCTGAGGTCTCATAGGAGCCACAGCACGGGTAGGAATGAGAGAGTGTAAATGGAATCTTGATCCTTTAAAATAACAATAACAACAACAACAACAACAAAAACCACTGAGCCATCTGCAGACAAGAACAAGAAAATATAATATAAGGAAAAATAAAAGGGATTGGGGGGCAAACATGAAAAGCTTTAAGATTCAGCTCTTCAAAGTCCAGTAGACTTGGCACTAGCAAGTGTTTATTGCAAAATCAGAGAAAAACCAAGATTCATCCATATCCCCCCAGCTTCCTAGAACCGTTCACAAAGCTACCCCTCCCCTCTCCTTTCTTTCAAAGTTCTGACCTGCACATGAGATAATGGGACCTGGATGGTATCTTTGCATGCTTTTATAGATATAGATATAGATATATTTGTGAGGCAATCGGAGTTAAATGACTTGCTTAGAGTCACACAGTAAGTATTATGTATCTGAGGCTGTATTTGAACTCAGGTCCTCCTGACTTCAGGGCCGGTGCTCTATCCACTGAGCCACCTAGCTGCCCCCCATGCTTATATTTTCACTGGATGTCTCAAGTACCCAAAGGCAGAATTGCCTTGTGTCATTTATTCTTTCCCTTTTTGCCTTTCACTGCTTTTCTTTTCAAATCAGACCTGGCTTCTTTGTAGAAAGTGGACACGCCAGCAGTGTACAAGAAGACAAGGCAAAGCAAGCCTGCGTTTGAGAGGGAGTCTGCTCTACGCTAGGCAACTCCTCCAGCATGTGAGTAACTAGTGTAGATCAGCATACCCACAGCGATATGCTCTTGAATTGCAGTCACAGACTGTTTATTTTGTTTTATTTTGTTTGTTTAGTGGAAGAAAAAAAATGCTGGGGAAAAAATAGTTTTTCCATAGGCAAGGAATAAAGACACAAAATCCATATTGATCACAGCCTTTGAATGTCAAACACAGGTTAAACCAGTGTGTATGAGGTACGAAGAAGGGCTTTTCTGCACTGTTTTCTGTTTCTTCTTGGGGCCATATAAAACATACAAAATGGTCAAACACTTGACATCTGCTGGTGTTTTGAATTTGTCAACTCTGCAGTTAGAGAGCTAAATCAATATCAAGAATCCCCCATTCATTCCTCCCAGCCCTTGGGACGTTCCCCAAAGAAGGTTCTCCCTGTTTTTCACGTAAGCACATTAAGCCACAAGATTTATCCAGAACAGCAGCGTACCCTCACGTTTCACCTGGCTAGACTTTCATCCCAGACCTCTACTGGCATCTTTATCCTCATTCTAGAAATGGGCTGCCCACACAGGCAGGTTTAGCCACCCGAGGCCACCAGAGATGGAATTTCTACATACCACCTCTCTGATCCCCAAAGAAGACTGCTTCAGGACTAAGAGCATTTGTTTAGAGATTTCTTGCTGGGGACTGAGATGAACCAGGCGTCACAGGTTGTTCCACGCATCTCGCTTCCCCCTCTAATCCTAAAGAAGCTTTACCCATGGGAGTAAGGGAAAGCTTCACTCTCCTCCCCCACTCCCTTCAAATGCAATGTCATTATATAAGAAAGATGCCTTGAGTGCCATCCAACTTCAAAGCAGTGAGATGTCAAGAAGTGACAGGAGGCAGTTAGCAAGGGATTGTCTGTACAAATAACAAAGCAGGAGACTGGGATGGGGAAGAGGCAAATTCACCACACTGATCCCAAAGAAAGGGGCTGGTCAAATAATTGGAGTACAGGGGGAGAAGCTAAATCTCCCTCAGCTTAAACTCCCCCTTTTCCCCCAAAGAAACAATATGGAGCATCTCCCCTTACCTTGCAAGATGCCAGAGTTGCATCAGGGCAAAGCCCAACTATCCCGCTGTTTCCCCAAGAGAACGGCAGATTCCTGGAATGACAGGTCCCCTGGCACTGTGGTCCAACAGTTCTAGTATTGGGAGTAGGACAGCCTAAGGCCTTGATGGTTTTTGTGAGTCAACAGGTCAGCTCAAACTGGTTGCCAGCTCATCTGTATGCAACCACACAGCAAGAGAGCAGTTTACTTTATAACCAGATTCAACAAGAGTAGGAGTGGCTGGTTAAATGTGGTAGATAACATAAAGGTGTTGAGCTGCCAAGGCTAATTAAGGGTGATTTGTTTATAAAGTCAGGGCTCTAGACTGGGCACCTGAAGAAAGCCAATATTACACAAGGCTGACCTGGTCCAAGCTTTCCAAATGACTTGAAGTTATGGATGAATGAGTTTGAAACCCTCTGACAATTGGTACACTTGTAGGTAAAGAATATGTAAAGAAGGCTTCGGACAGGAAATGTCTCCAAAGTGTCTGTATTATCCCTTCACGGAATCACAGAATCTTCAAAGGTCACTGAATGCAACCTGCACCTGAACAAGAATCCCTTCCACCACACATTGGACAAGGGTGACACTGCAAAGAATAATGAATGGAAAGCCGAAGACCTGCAGTCTCTATCACTTCACACTAGTGTGACCTTAACCCCTGGTCCTTAATTTTCACATCTGTAAAATAAGGGATTTAGACTAGATGACCTGTGTGATTCCTTCTTGCTCTAAATCTATTATTCTAACTATCCATTCAGTTATTTTATTTATTTTATTTAATTTTTATTTTTTTAATTTATGGAATAAACCAAGCATTTCCATAGCATAGTATAACAAAAAGATGAAAGTACAGGAAACTGCAAATCTATTATGTACAATTTGCTATTCCTTTTAAATATATAGTAAAGTTATCATGTAAATTTATTTTTTCCTTGCCCTAGAGATGGTTACCATTAGACACAAATAGCTATGTATATATGTAAAATTATTCTATACATACTTCTATTTATCAGCTCTTTCTCTAGATACAGATAGTGTGCTTCTTCATATGTCCTTTATAGTTAATTTAGGATTTATAATAGTCAAAATGACTTAGTCACTTAAAGACATTCTTAAAACAATATTGTTGTTATTTTATACAATGTTCTCTTGGTTCTGCTCATTTCACTCTTCATTATTTCATGCAAGTCTTTCCATGTTATTCTAAGATCATTGAGATCATCATTTTCTATAGCACAGGAGTATTCCATCACAATCATATACCACAACTTGTTCAGCCATTCCACAATTGATGAGCATCCCTGCAATTCCCAATTCTGTCACCACCCAATACTCATTCACTTTAATGTCTTTGCTTCAAGATTTCAAATGCAGAACTTTCTTGCTTTGTGACCTATTATTCTCAGACTGACTTTTCTTGACCTTTGGGTCATTTTGGTCATTCTGACCCATGTACAAATGAAGGCCTCTGACCTGCCAGAAAGAACGAATGAGATCTCAGTAGATCCTTCCTAACTCCCGCCTACTAACATAATCTAAGTTGAAAGTTCTGCTCATCTAGTGGGCAGTCCACTAAAGCAATAGCATAAGACAAGTGTGGAGAATCTGCGGCCTCAGGGCCACATGTGGCCTTCTAGGTCCTCAAGTGTGGCCCTATGACTGAATTCAAACTTCACAGACAAATCCTTTAATAAAAGGATTTGCTCTGTAAAACTTGGACTCTCCACCCCTGTAAGAGATCTACAGAGGTGGAAGGGACCACAGAGACCCAGAAAGATTAAATAATTTACCCAAGGTCACACAGGCAGTCAGAGTTGGGAGTCAGACTCAGGTCTGGAGGCAATCCTACCGCCACACACACAGCATAGAGGATATTTCCATGGAGACATCATGAAATAAAATAGCTTTCCCAGCATGGTCAGATGTTTTCTTTAGGACTTGGTCACTGGAAAATAACAATTTCAATGCAAATTAAGCTCAATGAATATTCAATGGGAACCTACTCTGTGCAAGACATAATTATGCAAGGTTAGCTAGGGAGGATGTGAAGATGAATTAGATGCCTGCTCTGTAGGGACCTCCTTTCTGTACTTTCACACTCTCTATTTGGAAAGATACGTATCTGTGTGTTTGGCATATCTCAGCTATTTACAGAAAGAGATAGGACAAGGAACTGTAGTCCCTATGAGAAGGCAGGTGTAGAGAGATATAAAAGAGTGGACTTACTTGGAGTGTTCACATAAAGGAGGGAGCCACTCCAGATAAAATAGGACAGCAGCCCTGAAGGAAGTTTCCTAAGGCTGGAAGTTTATCATAACTAACCAGAAAGAACTAGGGACCAAATTAGATCTTGAAGTAATGATCTCTCTGGACCTCTTGAAAAGCCTAAGGGCATAGATAGGCCAACCTTCGGAGTGTACTTGGATACTTTCTCAAACCTGATCAGCCCCAAGCATTTAGAACCTTTAAGCTGATTTAAGAAATCAGAATTCAGGGGCTTTTAGGTTCTGGGAAGGCTCATATCCCCTTACCCTCACCCCAAGGTAGAACTGTTAAGGCACTCCCACAGGAGACTGGGTGTCTCCTGTCCTTTCCTGAAAGAGCTGACTCCCCAAGTGACTTGTCACCCACAGAGCCCATGCCTCAATGAACAGATACCACACAGGAACAGCCCCAGGGCATGCTTTAAGGTGAGTTTGATACTTTACTGGATTCCTGTTTGAAGGAGTGGGGAAACAAAAGAGAAGGCTATAAGAAGAGGAAGATGTTTTATTCTGTTTTGAAGTCTTACTCATTAAAAGCTGTTCCCTTGGGTGAAAAATTGGCTGGAATGAGATTTCAAGAACCAAAACCCAACAGGACTTTTTGCTGTTGTTCAGTCATTCAGTCGTGTCCTACTCTTCTTGACCCCTTGGATGAGAATACTTTCCATGGGGTTTTCTTGGAAAGGATACAGGAGTGGGTAGCCATTTGCTTCTCTGGTGAATTAAGGCAAACAGAAGTTAAGTGACTTGCCCAGGGTCACACAACAATGCAACTTTAGAGGACATCTGTTCCAAACTGCACCTGATCGAGTCCCCTCTATGGCATGCTGAGCACAGTGTTCACCCCACTTCCAGCGGTAGATAAATCATGGCTTCCTGAGGCAATCTGTTCCACTTTGGTGTTTTGTTTAATTCAGTTTTTCTACATATCAAACCTAAATCTATTTCTCTACAGCTTCTACCCGTTGCTCCTAGTTCTACCTCTTCATGCCAAGCGGAATAAATCTAATACTTCCTGTAAATACTTTAAAAATGTTATCATGCCATAATAATCTAGCCTTTGAGGTTTATTAACTGCTTTACATATTTTATTTGATCTGCACAACAACCCTGGGAAGTTGGTGCCCCATTTCACAGATGAGGAAACTGATGCACATGGCGGTTACATGACTTGCCCAGGGTCCCATAGGATTTGAGCTGCTAGATTCCAAATATATCACCCAGCTGCCCCACCTCAGTCATGCTTCTTCTTCAGGCTAAATATCTCAAGTACCTCAACTAAACCTTGAATAGAGTTCCCTCTTGAGAGCCCTCCTATAAATGCTCTCCAGTTTGATAAGATCTTTCTAAAATAAGACAACCAGAATAAAACACAATATTCACAAAATGATCTCACCTTGAACAGAGTAAGGCAGGACCATCATCTCCGTCTCTCTCTGAACTCTGTGATTTCCCTAATCCAGACCAAGATCACATGAAGTTTTTGCTTGCCCTATGACCCTGCTGACATTTCGAACTTTACAATTCCCTAAGATTCCTCTCAGAGGAATGGTTATCTAGCCTCACCTACCCCATGGTGTCCTTGTATAGCCGTTTGCTTTAATCCAAGTGCAGGCAACATGGTATGATGAAGATTGATAGAGCTAGAGCACCGCAATAGCTAGGGCAGAGTGACCAGACCTTTGGCCCAGGGTGCCAGATTTATAGGACATTGACATCATTAGCAATCCTTCAGCAGCTTAGTTAGCAAGAATAAGTACTTAAAATAGAAAGCTACCAGATGGGCCTGGAGTGAGCTCTTCCACTGCCTTGCCCCACTCTTCTTCTTCCTCACCACCTCTCACAGCTGCTTCACCAGAAATAATCAGCGTTCTGACATCTGTCTCCTTTCCTCTCCTCCCTTGCCACAACAAATGAGAATGGGCTTCAAGCCACTTGACCCAGGCATGATTGGTAGTATTTGTACTACAAAAATTCCTAGTCCTAGCTGTGATGTGGAATCAGGAGACCTGATATCAAATCTTATCTATGCCAATTGTTTGTGCAGATTACCTCACTTCTCTGGGCCTCAGTTTCCTCATCTGTAAAATGAGGATTTGTACTAGATGACCCACCAAGTCCATTTCAACTCTAAATCTACTACCATATGAACTTTGCATTTTGTGAATATGGGAAGAATCTCAGCTTGGGGAACGCCCTCTGCCACCTTTTGTGGCAATGGTCTCTGACATGTAGATAAGTCTTAGGAATTTGTCTGAGGCCCATAATAACAATAAATATCATAGCAGATCTGTGACTTAGGAGATAAGTCCTAGGGAGTTGCCTATGGAGTGCGGAGAGTGCTGAGGGTCACGCCTGGTAAATCTCAGTCAGAATTTAAGCCAAGGCCTTCCTGACTGCAAGCCCAGCATGCTATCCACTAATCCCTGTCCTGCTTCTTTATACTTATCCCTATTAGGTTTCACTTTACTAGATTCAACTCTTCATCCAATCTCATTGAGATCTTTTTGAATCCTGCCTCTGCCTCTGCTTTCTCTACCATCTTCGTGTCATCTATAAACTGGATCAGTAAGCCAACTGTGCTTTTATCCAAGTCTGTGATGGAAATGTTACATGATGCAAAGCTAAGGAGACATTCCTGGGCACTTTGCTAGAAATTTCCTTCCAAGATGGCATGGACCATATATGAATATAGTCAGGAAGTGTCAATATGAGTCAGGAAGACTCATCTTCATGAGTTCAAATGCAGTCTCAGATACTTACTAGATGGGTGACCCTGGGAAAGTCATTTCACATTATTTGCCTCAGTTTCCTCTCTGTAAAATGAGGTAGAGAAGGAAATGGCAAAATGTTCCAGTCTCTTTGCCAATAAAACTCCCAATGGGGTCACAA